TGCCATGACCTCTGTAACATTATGTACAATGACTTATGTATATTGTGAAGCATGTTCATTTTCTTTTTATTTCTATTTCTCAAATATATGTCATCCTGCATGATAGACACTTCACATAAACAGCAACAACAAAACAAAGATCAGTTTATTTTCTTACAGACAAAAAGCAAAGTTACATGTGTAGGCAAAAAAAAAAAAATCTAAATGTATTGGTTGATTTTAAGCATTTTGTTGATATTATTTCTGTTATTACTTTACAATCAAGCATTACTCACATAAATGGACACGTCTTACACTATTTATGTTTGCATATTTAGTTTAGAGAGAATTTGTTTAGAAATTCTGAGCTAAATGACGGGATAGTAAGATAATACGAAGAATGTGCATGAGATAAATTGCTTTTGAGCATTTTAAGTATGTTTTTTCTGGGATTTAATTTTAATGATGCATTATACAGGTAAACAGCTACTTTTTTTAAACCTTATTTATGTTTGCGGATTTTGTTTAAGTGAATGTCGTCGGTATTTCTGAGTGGAAACTGGTTGACAGAAATCAAAAGATAAGGAGAATGGAGATGAGACAAACTTATTGAAATAAAAGCTCCAGAAATTAAAATTTCGCTGCAAAAGAAAATTTTAGTGTGGAAAGCCATGACTTATTTTTTCTGTCACCTTGTGCAAAATGCAGAAATGTTGTTAAATTCCAATCAAAAATAGAGGTATGATGGTTCAGTTCACATCGTCTTTCTGTTTTCATCCACAGTCGTTCCTCCAGGTTCTGTGTTTATGTCCTGTAACAGATACTTTATGAAGGGTGTTTCCCTGCTGTCTGCACACTGCATGTAAGAATACTCTGAGCCCCCGCCCAACCCCACCACCACAGTAAAAAGACCATAATTCAAATTCTCTCCTAATACTCTCATCAATGGCTGCATGTATAGATGTCTTTGCATAACAGGAAGCTGTGTGCCCAAGGTCAACGTATATTTTCTTGCAGCTGAACAGGGATTAACCACAGACAGATTAACTTTAGAGGCAACAAGTGAAAAATAGTCAGAGTGCACAAGAGTGGATGCAGTACGTACACCAGGTGCCTGTAGCCCTCCATCACTGAGCTGCATGAAACCACAGTTTGAAATTCAGAGCAGCCATCCTCTTCACCCACACATCCATCTGCATCTGATCAGGAAATTACAAATTAAATCACCCGTCATCTCATCAGCTTCATCTCCCCGGCAAAACACAACAATCTCAACATGCTTTACTACAAGTGTTTGGACGTGTTCACTCTCACCGACCGAGGTTTTCATTATTGCAAACATTGACATGTCAGTATTCAATCAATATGGACCTCTTGTTAAACATATGATGGAGTTTCTATTATAGTATTATATTTGAGTCACAGGGCTAAGTTTCCCAAAGATAAATACCTGAGCCCTTATAAGACTCTGTTAACTGGACGAACTGCATACATTTTTATTCCTGGATAGAAAGCAGATTAATCTGAGAATCAGGTTATTAATCTTCTTTTGTGCAACAGACGAAATATGTTTTCGATCTGGAAATACCTTCCGGACAGCAGTAAGTTTTGTTTAACAACCTTCTCAGATTTATAGTTTTGGGAAACGGCTGCTTAGTTTTATGACTCCAATCCACACTTTTTTTTTTTTTTGTCGTTAAACCCTTACTGAAAGGCAACCACACTGTCATTGAGTCAGTATCAGGATGTGAAGTGTTTTGTTGTCCATTTTTGTTAGAAATGAACAAGTAGGGAGGGGTCTATGAATTCAGACATTTGCACAAACATCTTCACAGCATCAGTGCGACAGGATTCGATCACTCATTGTTTCTGGTTTAATTGTCCTGTGCCTGGATATTTGTGGATAATGGTGATGTGTGTACATAAAGTAGTCATGAAATGGCTGTTTGAAGTGTAGATGTGGGTGGTTGAAAGTCTGGATGTGAGGATGTGGGCTTTGTTTTATTTCTATTGCTTTCGTTTGCCCTCAGATGATGTTTATATATATAACTGGGTTATTTTCAGGGGCTTCACAGTCCTCTGGAGCAGGAATAATATTCTGAGGGAAGACGGTCCTTTGTGAAATAATTGTATTTATTGTGATAACAGGTATAAGGTTGAGTCAGGCTTTTACCTGGATAAACATTTTTCTATTTTCCATTAAAACTTTGGAACAGCATGTTGACTTTTTTCATCTTTAAGGGTTTTATTTATTACACAGTAGCAACTCAAGAGTGAAAGGACAGTGGGGAGAGAGAGGGGGGATGACTTGCAGCAAAGGCCCAGAGGTTGGTATTGAACCTGGGCCACTGTGGTGTCGACTCATTTCACTGTACATGGAGCTCTAGCAGGACAACCCCCGCATGTTGATGTTATCTTTTCTATGAAACTGTTTTCTTTTGTCGTTCTTGTTTTGACCGTGTGGAACACACACAGACTTTTTTACAGAATCACCTTTGAAACATAAGATGTACCACCACACTGAGTCTAAGTCCTAATGCTATTAGTTAAGAAATTACTCTATTACCTACCTACAGTGCCCAGCCCACATGGACCTTTAAGTCACCAAAATATATGAAAATAACTTCTTACATTAAACTGCAAACTGTTCTAAGCCCGACAAGTAAAACCTGCCACAAAAAAGGTTCCTTTTCTAAAACAATGCTGATGTTTTTTTATCATAATTAATCCAGGAGAACTCATCCGAAATAAAGTGTAGCCATTAAATCTTATTATAATAAACAATAAAACAATACATGGACTTCATCTTCAACCTCACATAAATCAAGTAAACAAACAAAAATATTTTTTCTACAGTTACTGGTACATTACCAGAATAATATTACACTTTGATCTTACACACCAACATTATATTATTCAATTCTGGATTTATATGTGAAATAAAGTATAATCCTGAGGCTGTATCATGTTTTAATTGGTATTGGTGTTTTGTGTTGTAAACATGTTCTTATTTAACTGTGTGAGCTCTATGCTACCACGGTAATGATGCCACTGAGCAGCTTATCAGATACTAAGATTTACAGACCGCAGTATGGTGTTGTGCTGCAGTCAGTCTCACTACTTCCCCTTTAATACCACAAGAGGGCGCTGGCTCCACAGTGCCACACCTCTGCTGCAAAGCTCTTATTAGATCTTTTAATTCAGCATTATTAATCAGCTTGCTTCCATTTAATACTTTTACATTTTTACTACAAGTGTAGAATTATACTTTATAATTGTTTTACATATAAATGTCTGTGGGGTTTTATCCAGGAGGTGGAATCATGTGTTTCAAGAGATTATATCAGGTCTGCATGTGGTTTCCATCATTCTGTCATATTTTCCAGCGAGCTCCTTGTTTGTATTCAGAGAGGCATTGTCATGTAAAACCCATAAATTCTGTGGAGAGGAAAGAGAGATGTTAGACTGATTTCCATTTGTGCTTTCATCTGCATTTATAGGCCGTCTCCCTCTGGAATGATAAATGAATTTCTACACATCATCCATTGACGTCATGTTAATCACTCTTAATAACTGAGTCCTTTGATTATGCAGCAATTTTTCCATGTTTGTTTTGGCAGTGTATTACATCTACTGCAGTGTTTGGTTCACTGAATGTGTTCTTTTATTTGATTCTAATGATTTAATGTTCAGCCTCATTTTCCCTTTATTCTTCTTTCCCCCTCTGAGATTTTGCAACCCAGCGAGGTTATTTTCCAGGAATATTTTGCCACAGGCTGCTCTGTCACTCGTGTCCTCTCTCATCATACAGTGGTTCCTCTCTTATGAGTGGAAGTCACAATAATAAAATAATCAAAATAAATGTGATGATAAAGATTTGAGTCATCATTCAGGGCCTGACCAACAGAAAAAGGTGGAACAACACAGTGTTTGTCAAGTGTATTTTTGTTATGCTAAATAATTAGAAATAATATACTGATGAGTCGATTAGTCGGCTGACAGAAAATTAATCGGCAACTATTTTAATTATCTTTCAATCATTAAGTCTTTTTTCAAACAAAACCATTCTCTGTTTCCAGCTTTCAGATTTATCAGATTTGATGTCATATTGTAAGATTTTGTTATTTTTCACTATTTTATAGAGCAAATAATTAATAATGAAAATAACAGTTAGTTCCAGCCCTAACAATAATATATACCGGACAGATATAACAAAAATGAAATGAAAATGAAGTGTTTTGTCAACATGATTGGGTAACATAAAAGAGGATGATTCAAATGATTTAGTCTTTCATGAGATCATTTTAAGTTGTGTTATGTCGCTGTCAGATCCAAGAAGTGTTTCCTCAATAGATTTTTTTTGTCACTTAGAGATAATTAAAAGAGTATATAAGTTAGCTGCTCTGTGAGGTTGTGCTGTACAGCAATGCTTAAAGCTAAGTGCTAACATCAGCATGCTAACTTGCTTGCAATAATCATGCAAACATGCTGACACCTTTAGCAGGTATAATGTTAACCATGTTCACCATCTTAATATAGCATCTTATTGTGCTAACATTTGCTAAGTGGAGTCTAAATGGTGGACTCTGTAGAAGAGGACCCGCTCCCTCTGTAGATAAAAACAGCTAACAAAAACAATTCTTATCTTCAGGGGATTATACAGTAACAAAAACATACCTGCCAATAGATCTTCCTAAATGTTACACAATGGGCCTTTACATTTTTTTAACATTACACTATAGACTTATTATTATTATTATTATTATTATTATTATTATTATTATTATTATTACATAAGGTATATTGCTCATATTTGTAGTATTTATTTTTACTGTGTCAATTCACACAACTTTTCTCTCCATTGGTTTGCCCACACAGATTTGTGGTTGTCATGGCAACAGCAGAACAAGAGAGTGTGTGTGTGTGTGTGTGTGTGTGTGTGTGTGTGTGTGTGTGTGTGTGTGTGTGAGAGAGAGAGGGAGGGAGAGAGAGCCTCCATCCAGGCTGCAGCTCACAGGCACGAGAGAGTCTTTCAGAGGGGGCGGGACCTGTTTCGCTGCAGAGGGATGCTCCGCAGCCCCTCACTGGACCAACCAGTCTGGAAATCCCTGCTCACAGGCACATACCAAACACACATGCGCACACACACACACACACACACACACACACACGCACACATTTACGGTGACTGCAGCCGAAACCCCTCAAGCTCCCAGCATCTGTGCTGCATCTCTCCTCTCCTCCCTCTCCTCCTCCTCTCTCCCTCTGTAGCTCTCCGGCGCTCCGTCCTCCTCAGCTCTGATTCACTCAGCTCTTCTCACCAAGCTGAGCTGCAAAACCTTGGGACATGTCCTCCAACCTGCCCCCCGGGACCACAGCCGGGGCCAAAAGCAAACCCCTCTCCCCCTTCAAGAAGCGGGGAAGCCTGCAGTACACAGCCAGCACAGGTGAGTGGAGGGAGCTCGGGGATGGGGAAGGGGGGGTTGGTCTGAGACTCTCTCATGAACTGACCCTGAGGCACTGTGGCTCTGGACTGTGCATGGTTATGTGAATTCTGTGACTTTGTAAACGATTATATTTATGATTATTTTAGGGTATCAGTGACAGACGAAGACAGAGGGTTCAATACTTTTTCTCTGCGAGTAATTTGGGGAAAACCTGTTGATTAGGGAGGTGTAGTAAAAGACGCTCTCTGCATGTCGAAGATTTTGGGACTTCTAGCTTTTCATTTAATCTTTTATTTTCAGACTTATTTGTATAAATTATAATAAATGATACAACATGCATGCATACGTTCTCTAACATCAGCCAGAAAGTTAATTTGTTGCAGGATCAGGAACAATTTTGACATTGCTGAAATGTTGCATAACTTGTTTTTGTCAGGTGAAAACTCATATTTTGTTGTTTTCATTCTCCGTCATGAGTTGGTGACACTTTGGCTTGAGACCCCCTTTCAACACATTCTGCACAAGGTGAAAAATAATACAGGCTTAACCTAAAAATAGGACTTTTCTTATTCCTATATACACAGGCTTCTCCGTTGAGAGCAGCAGTGTGTTGCTTACATAAATGTGATGACAGTGTTTTTCATTTAGCCTGATGGCAATATGTGGCCTGGAGAGAATATGTAGGTCTAGTACCTCAGGACTTGATCCCCCCGCTGAATGAGAGGATTAGCCTTCACTCTGATGTATGCACACACTGATCAGCCTTTCATCCAAACTACAAAGAGTGTAGAATGACCATATGATGAAATACCAGCCCTTTAAATACCCCTCCCTCCGCTCAGTCACTGTCACTTTCTCTGAAATGTAAAACATGTTCAGTTCATATTAATATCATGTAGATGGGGATATTCTTATACAGCAGCACACAAACACCAGTGTCCACGCGTCATGTTACTGGTTAGAAATGAGGAAATATCTGTGTCATTTAGTCTTTTTTGTGAATATTATTATCATTGGTTATCAAGTTTATTTGTATTGAAAGTAGATGACATAATCTCCCCCTATTGGCAAATGATTACCCCCATTAACAGCTCGTAGCTGTTGCACAAATTGCTCTGGAGTCTCAGACTGGGAGGAATAAATAGTGGCTGGAATGATGAGGTGCTGTCTCGGCTTTTATATTCGACAGAGACAGATTTCTGTTTTTTTACATGTAGAGAAAAAGGCGGACCATGCATCTGCGACTGTTCTGAAGCCTAAGGGGTTGATTTAGTAAGTCTCTGCAGAAGCACATTGAGATAACGTTCACATTTTATGCTGTTAAAGCTCTCAGGGAACAACATGAGTAAGCAAAGATGACATTTAGGTGACTCATCTCCTCTTTGTTTATTTATTTATTTTTTTCAAAAGGGCACATATCTAGTTGTGGCAGATTGTACAGTACAGTCTGTGTAAATTCATGCAGTGGAAACTGGCTGCAGATGCATGATCATTTGATGTATTAGATGGGCTATTTAAATAATTGCCAGTGTCAATGAATGTTTAATAAAGTGATTGCTATTCTTGAATCTGCTGCAGCTGCTAATAACAGGATCATAAATTATATATCGTCTGACACTTGATTTCACTCATCTGCTTAACAATTGTGTAAACTGGCACTTATCATGCTTGAGGAACTTTAGCTTATTAGATTGTTTTAATAAGAATCCTGAGCTTTCGATCCAATCTAATGAGCTCTTTGCCAACAGAGCAGAGTGGAATAGATGGGATCTGCAGCAGAATCTAATCAGCACTAAATGAGCTTGAATCACTCACAACTTACCTTTCTTTAAAGGTTATAGACCACCCATACACTTAACACACTGTCTCATGCATGTTAGACAACTTCTTGCTCTCTTGTGCAGTTATAGTGTGAAGAACTAAGGCATAGCGTTGTCCATATTTAGCACATTATTGCAAGTTTTGTAGAGTAAGCTGAGTAGAGAACAGCAGCGGGAGAATCACTTCTCTGGCTGTGAAAAAGGTAGTTCTGAGATGAGAGCGCCACCCACTCACCCACCAGTTAGCCTATTCTGTGCCTCATGCTGTTCACTGCACTTGTTGAACCATTTAAATCAAATGAGAAGAACTTTGTTGTAGCAGTAGACGAAAGGGTACGAAAAGGTTGTACTGTAAGATAGTGAGTAATAACTACCCATGAGAGCACATAAAATACATGATAGATTAAGTTTAAAAAAGATATAATATAGAGTAAAAGTGTAGATTTACTATCTATCTCTGCAGGAAATAAATACCACGACATGAAATAACTATGATTTACTCCAATCATTTGGACAGTACAGTAGGCTGAGGTAGGACTTTGAACACATTGTACTTCGCCCACATCCTGTTCACGCCTCCTTCGGTTGTGTCACACCCTGTCATCGTTACATGCCCACACATGTCAGGGTGTGTGTCATGAACAAATACAGTAATTACAGGAGAGAGACCCTCTGGGTTAAATGATAATCCCTGTCTCTCCCCACAGTGATCTAATCTGTAAAAGTGATAGCTCAAATTCTAATTAATGATTACCTGGGAGCTCTGGGACTCCCACACCAACACACCTTCAACTGATAACCTTCAGTCACTCACTCATCCATGTATCTACACTACTGTACTGTGGTTTAGTTGTGTCTCTGCTACTCATGTGAGCCAACAGCTGGCATGTTAGGGGTCTCGTGGACTTGTGCCCTGTAGGTGGGACCTCTCTGTTGTATTGTCGCTCATACTTAATGGTGTTGTGATGCAGTACACATAGAGATACCTGATGTCCGATGAAGCTGTAGTTTGCAACACATCAACCTGTGGAGAGCCAGAAAGGTACAGTGAGTGCTGCTATAGACAGAATCTTAAATGAGAGAAAATATGAGTGAAATATGTTTGTGTTTTGTCTATTGGGCAGTACATTAATTAAGTACCGTAATTGTATTTATACTTAAATGTCCAGTGTGTAACATTGAGGCAGATATTGGCAGAAGTGGAATATAATATTAATAGGTATGTTTTCATTAGTGTATAATCACCTGAATCATCAATCATTGTGTTTTTGTTACCTTATAGAATGAGACATTTCTATATACAGTCCTTTTCTACAGACTTTCTACATAGCCCAGAATGAACAAACCAAACATTGGCTCTGGATAGGGTATTTCACGTTATTCAGCTGGCTGCTGTCTTCCCCACTAGCTGCTAATAAATCCTACAAGCTGGTCCTGAGTATTTCCATTTGAAGTTACTTTAAACTTTTATTCCACTATATATCAGAGGGAGATATTGTACTTTTTGCTGCATTACATTTATCTTACAGCTATAGTTCCTAGTTACAGGTATATTTTAAGAGTTACAACATTTAATTGATTAGTTTATAGACATTAAATTAATCGTAGTCAGTAGTTTAAAAATTCCAAATATTAGCTATTTTCAGCCTTTTAATTTACTGCTTTCCTTTAAAACAATTTAGCTCTTTGAATAATAGATTGAAGACATCATCAGGAGCTTTAAGAGCTCAATTGTTTTAACATTAAACAAACTAAACTTAAAATAATATAAAATAATAGTCAGAGTAACTAATAATAAAAAATAATCATTAGCTTCGTACTAAAAATATTCACACAACACATGTCATCTGTTAATAAAAATGCCCAATACCATATAAAGTTAGCTCATCTGGAGCAGCTGCAAAATGAAAATAGTTTTTAGTCAGTTAATGTATGAACAATAATAATCCAATAATAAAACAGGTACTCTGAAAGGCACCATTGGTCTGTGTACTTCTTCCACTGCTGCTGTTATTGTAAAGATGAATATAAGTTGGCCAGATTGAAGCTTTGTGTGTGATGCAGCATTGGACCATCAGGGGGAGCCTGGTCTGAAGAAATGCAGCCACGCTGATGATGAATCAATGAACAGCAATCATGTTTGTTGTTCTCCTCTTAAGGGCCCACAACAATTTGATTAGCCCTCTTGAAAGCAATTTTGAATTTGAGTGCCTTGAAAAAACACGGACAATAATTTAACCTTTTTGTCGGTCTCATAGAGCAGCATTGTTGTCTACTATAAGTCTATTAAAAACACATCTGGTGGACTGTGTGACATGTTCTTTCATTATGATGGACTTAGGAACTGTCGTTGACTCAACCCCACATGCGCTGCGTTCTCTCGGGCATCAGATCCGCAGCGGAAAATAGTCCCCAACAACCGCACAATTTACTTCTGTTTTGGCAACATTTGCTAAAAACAACATTTAACATTTTTAAAAGTGAAAAAATACATTTGTGACACGAATTCATTATGAACCAATTAGCTTGAGGCTGAATAGACAAGTATGGAGACTGACTTGATCTGTTGACAGTGACAAAAATATATTGCTCGCTTTGTGGAAGAGAAGAAAACTGCACAAATGCTGTGATAAGACTGTGTTAGAGTTAGAAAAGGAAAAAATGTCTTATTCCAAGTTGAGTTCCAAGTTAAGACCACCTGAGTTGAACTTGTCTTGAGCAAGAGAAGATAAGGTAAGCAGCGCAAACATTTGATACAAACTGATGATTGATTGAGCTTAAAGGCCTCTTTTACTCACTGGTTGAAAATGAATGGAATCAAGTTTTAGCTAACATCAGATTCACTCACCACAGTTTTATCATTAGGGCTTGTGACACTTTCTGAAAAGTTCAGTTACTCACACAGTAATGGGCATTTTTTAATTAAAGGTCAGGATTCTCGTCCGATCTCATCGTTTTTCTCCAAATGTTAACAGACACTAAAGAAGCAGTTCACGTGGAGTTCCAGTCAAATCTTGAAATATTCACATTTTTCATGACATGTTTTTTTGCAACTGAAGCATGCAGCTGTTATCCAGAGCAAATTTACATTCAGTGCAAAAGTATAATAAGAACAGAGATATGACTGCAGAGAAACTTGCACACAATGAAGGATCTCACATTTATCGTTGTGTCATGAAA